CAGGAGCAGCGGGACTCAGTACCTTGGTCTGGTGGTCTGGTGTCCTCTGCGTCTTTGTAGTGTGGAACCAGGTGGCTGCGAGTCTGCAGCGGGGTGATTCGGCGTCTTCCGCTCGACTCAGAACCTCGGTAGCGCGTGGGCAGACCTGCCTGTCTGCAGAGGGGTGATTCGGCGTGTTCTGTGAGACTCAGGACCTCGGTAGGGTGTGGGCACACCTGCCTGTCTGCACGGGGGTGATTCGGAGTCTTCCGCGCAACTCAAGACCTCGGTAGGGCATGCACAGACCTGCCTGTCTGCAGCGGGCTGATTCGGTGTCTTCCGCGCGACTCTCTGCCTTGTTTTCTAATGATAACCTTTTAACATTTTAGTATATTTTACTTCATAAAATATCCACACATGTGCTTTGTTTTATAATGGATAATTTGTAGCTTGTTTTCAATTCATTTGAATGTTTCAATTTAATATAAAGATACATATATCCTTTTAAATGGTTGCTTATCTTTGCATATGTATTCTATGAAATTTGCCTAAATTACCATTGTTGAGTCTTAGGTTATTTCCTAAGTCTGTCTTCTCTAAACATGCTGAGATAAATTCTTTCTTTCTCTGTGTGTGCATTTATTTTCTGAGTGTATATTGGTATTTGTGCATATTTAGCTGATGATTTCTTTAAGGTAAGTTATCCAAGGAGAGAGCAACTTGTCTTCAAATCTAGGAAGGCCAAAATCAGTGAGGCAAGCTTCTCTATGTTCCTTTGCAGGATTTCATGCCCCTACCATGTCCTGGCCTGTGGCAGGGACTCTCATGGTTGAGCCCACCGAGTCAGAAGACAAGGCCGAGCTGGACAGATTCTGTGATGCTATGATCAGTATTCGGCAAGAAATTGCTGACATCGAGGAGGGCCGCATCGACCCTAGGATCAATCCGCTGAAGGTGCGTAGGTGCTCATATTTTATTCTGATTCATGTTTTTTCTCATTCCCCTTTCCTCCATTCTATCCCATATCCCCTTCTTATTTAGAAGAGCTTTGTATCCATTTTTTTTGTTTTTTGTTTTCTTTGTGCCCCCTCCCATTTGAACATTTTCTATTTTACAATATCTATCACACATTTTTGTTGTTATTTACACTTTCTCACACTAGAGAAACAATGTGGTATTTGCACATATTTGTCCAATTTATTTCACTTCAGAATATGAACTCTAGGTGCATCCATTTAGATATAAATGTCTCAAATTTATCCTTTATGGCTGAGTAGTACTCTACTGTATTAAAAAACCACATCCAACATTCATCGATTGATGGTCATTTGGGTTGTTTCCAAGATTTAACTATTACAAACTGTGCTGCTAGGAAATGGGTGTGCACATATCACTATGGTATGATGCTTTAAGTTCTTTTGGGAAGATACCAAGAAGGGGGATAGCAGAGTCAAATGGACCCTGTAGTCCTAGTTGAGAAATTTCTACATTAATTTCCAAAAGAAGGAAAGAAAATACTCAGATCCATGTAATTAGGAATAAATAGGGTGAAATCACAATAGATCCTGCAGAAATCCAGAAGATCTTCAATGCCTATTTCAAGAACCTTTATTCTAATAAGATGGAAAACACAGAAGAAATGGACAGATTCCTAGTATATATGAATTACCAAAGCTGAATTAACAAGATACAAAGATTCTAAATAACTCAGTAACAGTCAGTGAAATTGAAGAGGTAATTAAAAACCTAGAAACAAAGAAAAGCCCAGGTCCTGATGGATTCACTGCTGAATTCTACAAAAAATTTAGAGATGATCTAATGCCACTACTTCTCAAACTCTTTAATGAAACTGAAATGGAAGCAGTACTCCCAAAGACATTCCTAAATATTGCTGTGATAACAAAACCAGAGAAAGAACCAACCGAAAAAGAGCTACGCTTCAATCTCCCTAATGAACATAGGCATAAAAATCGTCAATAAGATACAGGCAAACAATGCAGCAAATCATCGAGAGGAGTATACACCATGACCAAGTAGGATTCATCCCAGGGATGCAGGGATGGTTCAACACATGCAAATCAATAAATGTAATACACCTCATTAATGTGGCTAAGGACAAAAATCACATGATCATCTCAATAGATGCAGAAAAAACCTTTGACAGAGTCTAACACCCATTCATGATAAAACCCTACAGAAAATTGGAACAGATGGTCTTTATCTCAATCTGACAAAAGCCATCTATGACAAACCAACAGCCAATGTTATACTAAATGGTCAAAATCTGAAAGCTTTCACTCTAAAATCAGGAACCAAGACAAGGATGTCCACTATCACCACTCTTATTCAATATACTTCTGAAAACATTAGGTAGAGCAATTAGATAGGAGAAGGAAATAAAGGGAATAAGAATAGGAAAGGAAGAAGGTACATTATCACTATTTCAGGATGACATGATACTCCACATAGAAGATCCCAAAAACTCCACCAAGACACCTAGATTTAATAACTAAATTCAGTCATGTAGCTGGATACAAAGTCAACACTCAATAATCAGTAGCATTCCTGTACATAAATAACAAACTTACCAAGAGAGAAATTAGCGAAACCACCCCTTTGCATTGAAAAAAATGAAATATTTTGAGGAATCAATCTAACAAAGGAAGTAAAAGATCTTTACGTTGGAAACTACAGTAATCTGAAAAAGGAGATGAAGAGGATATCATACAATGGAAAGATATCCCTTGCTCATGGGTAGGAAGAACATAATAAAATTAGCCATACTGCAAAATTGTTACACAGATTTAATGCAACCCCAATCAGAATACTACTACATACCTCACAGAACTAGAGAAAAACATTTCTAAAATTCATTTGGAACCAGGAGAGATCTAAAATAGCAAAAACAATTCTGGGCAACTAAGGCAAGGCAGATGGCATCACAGTCCTTGACTTGAAATTCTACTACAAAGCTACTGTGAAAACAGCATGGTACTGGGAAAAAAAACAACAAACAACAGATCTGAGGATCAATGGAACAGAATAAGAAGATGCAGAAACAACCCCAAACACACTCAGCCACCCTTACCTTTGACAAAGGGGCCAAACATTTTCCTTGGAAGAAAGATAGCCTCTTTAATAAATGGTGCTGGAAAAACTGGCTTTCCACATGCTGAAGACTACAACTAGACCCATGTCTCTCACCAGGCACTAAACTAAAATAAAAATGGATCAATGATCTAAATGTTAAACACTAAATCTGGGAGAAAGAATACCTGGAACTCTTGAAGACATAGGTGTAGGCAAAGAATATGAACTACAAGCCCACAGGAAATATTACACAGAATTAACTGGGATCTCATCTCATTAAAAAGCTTTTGCATAGCAAAAGAACTCAACAGAGTAAAGAGACAACCAATAGACTAGGAATATTTTTTTGCCAGGTGTTCCTCAGACAAAAGACTGATATCTAGAATATATAAAAAACTAAAATCCTCCCTCAAATTTAAAGACCCATTCCAAAAATGGGCCTCTGATATGAATAGACGCTTCTCAGATGAAGTAGAAATGCCAATAAATATGTGAAAATGTTCAGCGTCACTGATCACTTGAGAGATGCAAATTAAAACAACACTGAGATTCCATCTCCAGAAAGAATGGCTTTTATCAAGAAATCAACCAATAACAAATGGTGGCATGGATGTAGGGGAAAAGGATCCCTTCTCCACTATTGGTGGGAGTATATACTGGTACAACATGTTAATTTAAAATCTGGTGATCGTCCTAAATTTCTGGCCCTAAGTTCAGGTCCAGACATTGAGCTTGAGGACCATGAATTGAGAATACCATGTATGCTGTGGTTGTGTTTTTATGGCCACAGTGCAAAAATAGGAAGCTGAAGCAAGTTCCAAAGCTACCCAGCTTTGATAAGAGTACAGAGACCAATGGCTACAGAAGGCAGGCACCTTGCTATATGAGTGTCACAGACTCATGGAGGAAAAATAATATAATTGTTTTTACTGTCATTTCTTTCTCTTCTAGATATTGCTGATTCCTCCAGGATTTAGGCTATTTTAAAAAATGATAATAGACATCTCAAAGAATTGAGTTACAAAAACAAGACTACTACTCACAGGGTAAAAACTTTTAAAAAGTGCCAAATTATGCTATGACGTTACTAAGTGCAGAGGGTATAAAAATGATGAGAGCACTAGTACACACCAAATTCAGGGAAGTGGTTATCACTAGAGAGAAAGACGAGCAAAGACTTGCCAAAGGGAAAACAAGCAGCTTCAACTATGTCATGTTTACTACTTTAAAAGTATAACAAATATAACATTCCTTATTTTACTTTAGCTGGGTGGCAGGTGTGCTTATCATCATCTACCTTTCTAATATTTGAATATTTTACCATTAAAAATACCCTGTCCCCTAATTGAAACAAAACAACTGCTTCCTTTTTACAGCCTTCCATTAGAAGCTTGGCAAAGTGAGGGAGAAGGTGGTGTACTACTCTGACGCCTCTGCCTATGTCTGTTTCAGATGTCTCCACACTCCTTGACCTGCATCACATCTTCCCACTGGGATCGACCATATTCCAGAGAGGTGGCAGCATTCCCACTTGTAAGTTCTCTGAAGCTGAATGTGCCAACTGGGATGGTGTTCATGTGCACTGCACCTCCCTATTCCCCCTCCTCTGGTCTCATCATGGAAACTGTGTAGGACGCTGCGAAATGGGAGCCATGGTGAGGAACTTAGAGCAGAGGTATTGGCCTTCAGGGACCTGAAGTCAGTCTGATGATCAACCAGCCAAGCCTAGGTACAAGGAGGACAAAAACGAGTCCTGCCAGGTGAATGAACATGTTTTCTACCACTGTCCAACAGGGAGATAGACCCAAGTGCAATCTTCCTTTCTGATATGGAGAAGGTGCGAAGGTGCTCTGAAGTCTGAGAGGCACAGGATCAAGGCTCAAAAGTTGGATTTCTTTTTTCCATTAAGTTTATCAGTACATTTTAGGTACACAATACAGTTACATTCATCATTGGGATCTTGTACCTTTACATGTTGTACCTTGGTTCTTAATTTTCACCCATTCCTCTGCCCTCCCTTTACCCCCTGCACCCTTCCCTATTTACAAAGACTTTGTTTCCATTTTTTCCTTTTCTAAACTTGGATTTTTTTTGAGGAAGGGGACAGATTGGATTTAGCTTATGGTATCCTGGGCTGTGGGAATATCATTATAACCTCCTTTTCCCCCAAGGGAAAACTCTCAGTCCATCTCACACCATTCCCATCTTCTGTCCTTTTCAGCCCTTTGTGAAACCAGAGAACAAATTCTGGCCAAGCATTGCCCGGATTGATGACATATATGGAGATCAGCACCTGGTTTGTACCTGCCCACCCATGGAAGTTTATGAGTCCCCATTTTCTGAGCAGAAGAGGGCATCTTCTTAGTCCTTTCTCTGTAAGTTCAAGGAACTGATTTTAGGTCTTTACCTGAAGCATTTGATAAGCAATAAATATTTCATCTCCCACTCCTGGCTCAAGTAGGGGTTTCATATACTGTGCATTTTTGTAATCTGTCAAGGTAAATGTGAATACAATTAGCATATTGAGTGGTAGTGAATCACTGGAAGATTCCTGTGCTTCAGTCCTCTGCTTTCACATATGTTGGTTGATGTTCAGGTTGCCTTGATGAGGAACCATTTAGTTTTCTGCATAGAATATTCTGGGTCTGCTACCAATTTTAACTTTCAATGGCAAGTTTACTGATGTTAGAGGGTTATATTAGAGATTTAAAAAGAGACATACTTTTTGTTCCAAACAAGTCTTTATGGACTGTGCCAGCTGTGGTAAGTCCCAGGGCAAATGTTTACATTTTATATACACTGAAGAACTCTTCTGGCTAATTTGCCTAATCTGTAATAGCATTTCTGAGGGATATTCTCTTTTTCTCTGTGTGGGTTTTTCATTTGCATTTATTAGTATCCTAATAAAAACACTTCAAATTGAAGAACACCCTCCTTTTTTAATAATTTTGCCTCACCAAACCCCAGATTCACAGGGGAATCTTATCAACACTCAATAGCCCTTGTTACATTATCAGTTTTACCTTTAACTGGATAAAATGGCTTTATGACCAGGGAAGTTCACTTTGGCCCTTGTCATTGTGTTAGACTGCATGTATTGAAACTCAAGTACAGAAATTCAAATGGAAAATTTTTTGCTCTCATTTAACAGTAAGTCCAGGGGTAATAAGCCAAGGGCTGGTTCTCTTTAGTCTTGCTGTTCTGGGTTTCTTTGCACATAATTTTCATTCTTATCTCAAAATGGGTGCTGTATATCCAAGTATCATAAATCCCTTCTAAATAGGAAAAAAAGAACAGAAAGAGAAAAGAGAGATTTCATCTAAGTCTGCTTTTGAAATCTCCTGAACATGCAGTAAGGTGAAGTTTTTTTTAATTTGGGTATGTAACTACCCCAGTCAAAATCAAGAATTTAATTAAAGAGAAGGTGAAGATTGGGTTTTAGGTAGGGTAGTTAGCATGCTGGCAACAAATGACTTTCCTTCAGAAGGAGCAGTGGTTTGAGATGTTCTTACCTGAGTGTTACTCTTTCTTGGATCCTTGCATGGCAGCTTATTCCAGCAGTTGTTCAGTGTCACTAGGCTTTATGATAATGAGCTGGACAAAGGTCTGCATGCTCTATTAAATTCTCTGCAAGTAGCCCACTTATTCTCAAAAGGTTGTAGGTCTTACTTTAGCCTAACCAAGCAGTGAAGAAGTGATGATCTCCATGGTTCCTTTTTTACATAAAAGGGAAGGGTGTGGAGAAACACCTGTAGTCACATGGCTCATAAGAGAAGCCAAAATTTTAACCAACAGTTGACCATCTCCAGTGCCTTTCAGCTCAGATAGGCTACCACACCGCCATGGAATTACATACGTCGGACCCTGCCTTTCCTGGGCTCACAACCATTCTCTCCATACAAACTAGCCATCAGGGTAGGGAGCAACGCCTCCTCAGGAAATACCAGCATATGAAAATAAATAGCTAAAAAGCAAGCAAATTCTTTGTTTTACTTTAAGTGTTTGTAATTGAATACCAAAGCTGTTTCCATATCTGGTCATCCACTGCTTGCCTCCAGAATATGTCAGGTAATGGAGAGTCACATGAATGATTTAATAACGAAGGACAAACTGTTTACTGTCTTTATCCGATGCTTATGCTGGTCTTTTCCCCACTTCTGATGTTGATGTGTATGGTATCCTCCACTTGGAGCACTCACCAGCCACCTTGGTTTTGCTGGCTCCTATTTATTCTTCAGCATCTTACAACGTTTTCCTTACTATCTCTGAGAAATAAGTTATTTTCTGCCTTGCCACTCAGTTTGTTTTCTCCTGTTAACTGTTTTTAATGTTTACTCAGTTTTTGTGTCTCTGCCTCATAGACTTAAGTTCCTTGCAAACAAGGACCATATATGATTCATCATTGGATTTCCAGTGTTGAGTCAGAGTGTTCCATGTAGCGTGTTAAATAAAAAGCAACATATTGAATAAAGAAATGACCGCTGATCTCATAGAGGCACACTGGCATGGTGTTTCCAGTGTCTGCTGTAAGTAGATCTTTTAAAACTACAAAATGCCAGGCCCTGAAGGAAGCATCCTCTGGATGGCTTTGTATAGACATTTAAAAATATTTTATTATGGTAAAGTATGGATACTATAAAATTTATCACTTTAGCCATTTTTAGCTCTATAATACAGTGACATTAAGTACAACGATGTGCAGAATGTGCCTTTTAAGCAGAATAAACACTTTCTTTTATGAATTAACATGACAGTCTCCAATTTGCATTTTATATTTTCTTCTGTAGTTACAGTCTGTTGAATTCAGAATTTTTTTTTAGAGAACTGCATGAAAAAATCTCTGGGTACTATGAGAGGTCTATGGGTTTGAGAACTGATGCAAGTGAAATTTTAGTGCTGTTTGATCCGTTTGTTGCTTCGTCCTTTAACCTCACTAGTAAAAGTATTTTTGTACTTGTGGGTATGACATTTTTAATTTCCTACAAAAGCACTTCTCTGATCACTTGAAAAATACAAAACAACTTGGTGAGACTCAGAAGTCTTAAGTACTTTAAGTAAACAGCCAAACTCAAACTGCAGAAATCAGGGTGGGATCCAGACACTAGGAGTGAAGTCAGTCACCATAAACAAATTCCCCTAGTGCTGTCACTGAAAACTTGATCCAGAACTGCTACTTGGTACAGTAGGAGCAACCAACCAAAACAGAACTGCATGAAAAATTTTCTTTAAAAGCCTGCTATAAAGAATGGGGGAAAAAGCTGACCTGTGTCCAAGACCTTTCATTTAACATGAACTGCATAGGAATATTGTTCCTTCAGTGAGAAATTCTGGATTTTTTTTTAATGGTTAAAAGAAATCGCTTCAAATGCATCTCAAAAAACAATGCTAAAAATACTTTACTTGGCAGGTGATACTTGAATAGTCTGTTAAATATGCCATTACCAAAGCAGCAAGTATGGTATGTAGTGCTAGCCGTTTTGGAAGATATAACTGGAAAATGGCTAGCTAGAAACATTATTTCTCCATTTAGTCAAAGACAGCTTTTAGCCTAGGACAGCATCTGCCATTTGGGTAAGTGCTGTCAACTGAAAGTCTAATGGTTCTGAGCATGGAGCAGTTTGGGGAGGAAAAAAGGAATAAAATTCCTTGTACAGTTTAATGATTTTCCTCAAACTGGTTTCATTTAGGAATGAAACCCATGATTTTTATAGTTTAAAAATGAGAAGAGTCTAAAGAAATATGCATCATGCAGTAATTGTTATCTGGTGTTTTTAGATGAAATTTAGGTTGCACATTAGTTCTCTTTGGAACAGTATCCAACCAACTTAATTGTCAAGGAGCAAAAGAATATGAATTAAATATAAATATGTGAGGGCTGGGGATTTAGCTCAGTGACACCGCACTTGCCTTGTAAGCACAAGGTCCTGAGTTCGACCCCTAGTACCAAAAATAAATGAGTGCAACGTACAGTCCTTGAGTTTAAATTCTAGACCCACTACTGAACAGCAGTAAGTAGGGCAAGTTCTAACTCTGAAACGCTTCCCTCTAAAATGGAAATAATGCCATTTATCTCACAGGGGTATGTGAGTGGTAAGTAAAATAATTTGTGAAAAATACCGACAACTCATGTTTCTTAGATACAGACTGAACAGGTATGAGAACTGCTCCCATTATTTGTTTCAAAGACATGAACATGCTAGAAAAATCCTTTTAGTTAAAAACAAATTCTGAAGAAAGAAAAGGAAACTGTAGGGTGACAGAAATTAATAGGGAATCCACATAATTTTAAATCATATTGCCTGTAAAGAAACCAGGACTGAACATGGAGATACATTAGTAATTAATGGTTCTAGTGATGTCAGAGAATGCATTTAGGCATTAAGAATTATGAACGTCCTTAATATGAGACTGAAAAAGCAGAGTCTACTTACCCAAGGTCATAGCAGGAAACAAATCCTCATTCCAGTCCATTCTCTGAAACAAATGCCCCCACTGGAGGCTTGGCTGCATGTGAACACAGAAGCCAATTCCTAATGGACTCTCATTCAACAAAACATAACATCTGGTTGTTTTAGAAGTCATAAAACACAATCTAAACATTTCTTTAAAGGAAGCACTTATGTCCACAAGCAGGCCATGAATAAAACCTTTTCAGCAGAAAACTTCTTTGGAAGATGATCTCACAAAGTTAAACACAATGAAGTACAATGTTAGGCATCAACAGCAAAATTCTTAACCAGCTGAGAGAGAGAATGAGTATGTGTGTATGTACAGATTTACAGACAGGGTCTCCCTATGTAGTTCAAGCTTGTCTTCGACTTGGTAGTGATCCTTTTGGCTCAGCCTCTGGAGTGCTGGGATTACAGATGTACATTACCACACCTGGCCAGAGTTTTAAATAAGTAAATGCTCAGAAACACCATGGAAGGACCAAAATCCACAAATGACAATGAGCTTATGAAACAAAAACAGATAAAACTATAGTTTCTAAACAGTTCTTGAAATACCAATTTATTTAGATGGGTTAAAGAATACTCAATGAATTGAAAGAATGACATGAACAAATAAACAGTACAAAGGGATTAATGACGACTAAGATTGTCAGGTAGACTAAAACTAGCAGAATTAAGAGAAATAGAGGAGCAGTATTTTAAGAGAAAGAAAATTTTACAGAACTGAAGATACACCTTTTCAATTTCAAATAGTACAGTGAGGCCCTTTCTGCTGTGGGCTAAGTATGCTTGTCTATAATGAAATACCTTATCTTTTGGGTTGTTGGAAACATTAAATATCACATACACCTAAGTGGTAAATGTTTCCTTTCAGATAGAGCTCCTTTATCTATAAATATTTATTCCCCCACCCCCACTGAAAATCTGTTTTTGAAAGGTTGCTTCTGGGACTTCACATTCCACACAAACACAGCAAGTATATTCAGTAAAATCTTTGACTGAAATAATATAAAGCAACCATCAAAAGATCCCAAAAGGAAGAAAATACAAGGTGACCTGACTAAGCAATCTGGGATTAAGGAATGACTAGGCAGAAGCTTCCTCATTTTGTTTTGCTTCCTTTTTACTTTCTTTTCTGTCCATTTGGCTTGAATGCAAGGGAAGCCTACAACCTGAAAACATCAATTGATGTAGGAAAAAAAGCCTCCTCTCATGAGCCAAAGGAATGGGAAAGTGTGACCCTGAAGGAAAAGATCCGTTTGATTATACTCTCCCTACTTGCAGGTGAACACTATGGAAATAAATCCATCTCTAGAGTCACTGGATCTGGCTGCTACTATGGGGTAGAGCTCTCCCCCACTGAGTGATCAGCTGTAAAGTGGCAGTACCTTCCCATCCTAAGTAGAGGGTGAGGAGCAATAGGAGAGAGGTGAACTTGAGAAAGGCAGTCTTCAAATCTTTGTAGTAAGTCTTGGGCAGACCCAAACAGGCCATGTGTAGGACTTTACATAATCGACACAGTAAACATGAGTAAACTAATGCTTAAGTTTCAGACTACCTTGCGGGTAGTCCCACATGTACCAGAACAGAATAGCACTGCAAAGGCTTTGAAAACTAAGATGACAAACTACAGCCTACAAACATGGTCCAGACTGCATTTGGAACTAAACAGATCCATTTCCTTATGAAACATTTAAATAGGAAAATGAGTCTTAAAATATTTAAAATGTCTTGGATACATTGCAGAATGACTAATATTAAAAACCCACACAACCAAAAACAAAGCCAGTGTTGTGGCGAACACCTGTAACCTCAGCACTCAGCAGACTGAGGGAGCAAGATCACCATGAGTTCGAGGCCAGTCTGGGCCACATGAGCGTTCAAGGCTGGCCTGAGCCACATAGCAAGACCGTCTCAAAACAAAACAAAACAAAAAACCCCTGCACTATCTTAACTTGAATGAGCACCATAAAGACAGAATGGAACTTGTAGAGTTAAAAAATATAATCACCAAAACAAATTCCCTGGATGGGATTAAAGGATGTAGATGAAGAACAACAGAATTAGTGAATTCAATCATTAGGGGTTATCAAATCTGAACAACAGAATAAAAATGAACAGAACCTGTCTGACAACAAAAGATCTAATATTCATGTTATTGGCGTGCCAGGAGAATAGGAGGAAGAATAGAAGTATGAAACTATTTGAAGAAGTAATGGCTAGAAACTTTCTGAACTTGACTAAAGACATAAATCTAGATGTAAGAAGGTAAGTAAACTCAAAAGAGTAAATCCAAGAAACTCATTCTTTAAGCAAAACACTTAAAATATATACTTTACAGTTATACAGGGTGCAAATGAAAAGATTAAATCAGTTATCTAGGAAATACAAAGCCATAAGGTACCACAAAACATCCTTTAGAATGGCTAAAATAAAGATATAATACTGAGTGTTGGGAAGAATGTAAAGCAACTGGATCTCTCACATATTACTGATAGAATGTGAAATGGTACAGTCACTCTGGGCAATAGTTTGGCATTCTTACTTATATACAACCTTGAATTATAGCACTGAGAAAAACAATGTACATGCAACAATCTGTACATATTCAGCAGACTTAAAACTAGGAATTATCAGGGAAGTGGGAGGGGAAGGGGAAAGGGAAGAAGGGAAAGGAAAAATTATGAGAAAAGAAAAAAATGGAAACAAAGTCTATGTAAATAGGGAAGGGTGGAGGGGGTGAAGGGCACACAGGTAATGGGGAAAAAATAAGAACCAAGATACATCATGTACAGGTACAAGCACTCAATGTTAAATGTAAACGTATTGTATACCTAAAATGCACCCATAGAAGAAAAAAAAAAAACTAGGAATGGTCCAAAATTAGCAAACACCCTGTAATACTTAATAAAAAGAACTGAAACTATTTGATACATGCAGTGACTTAGAAGGTGGTCAAAGTTATGGTGTGGAACACAGCCAGTCTCAGATAGATACGATTTCACTTACATATCATTTTTAAGATGAAAAAATTATAGTGATATTGAACAGACTAATGGTTGTCATGAGTTAGGGTTAGAGACAGGATACAGGGATAGTATGAGAATTCTGTGATGAGAGACTACAGTAATTTACATGAATCTATACTTGTGATAACACTTTATAAATAAATATAACTAAAAATGAGTTCATGTAAAAACTGGAGAAATTAGAATATGACTTGTAGTTAATATTATTGTACCATTGCCATAATATTCCTGGTTTGGCCAACTTAGTATAATTATGCAAGATGCT